AATGCAAATGACTGTCTAGTCTTTTGGAATGACCTCCGAAAAATACTGAAACTGTGAGTGTGAGAAGCGCAATCTGGACCAGATATCTTCTAGTAATTGTGCCCCCAATCAAAGACTTAGCTTGTATCAAATTAATCAACTTGTTTCATTCTCTGAAGGATCTCCGAGGAAAATAGTAATCACCACGAACGTGTCTTGTAACGCGGCCATCCTGGGTGACTCTGTTGCCATACGGTGCTGGTCTCGTGGCTACCCTGCTCCACTCTGTGGCATATATCGCGATGGTAACTTACTAAGCGCCAATGGAGGTGTTTATGTAATTGAAAACTTCACTTCTTTGGACCAAGGAGTCTACATTTGCAACTGCTCAAATGTTGCTGGTGCAGCGCAGGCAAACTTTTCCCTCACACTCTATGGTAAGTGGGTCTGTGATTATATTCTTGTCTTAGAACCAACAAGTGGGAGAATAGTTGACTTCAAATGGGATATAGTTGTTTGGTAGTATGTGTAAACGACGATCGTGTGATTACCCGAGTCTTAAATGTTAACCAATGATGATAATCAACTTATTTCCAGAGGGTAACCGTCAACAGTATTTCAACTGATGAACAAGTGGTCCTCTATCCTATATTTGAAATACACTATACAATGTGGAACTAGACAGGAAGGGTCTAAGAATTGCTTTTTACTCTACAGAGTCCCCAGCTATCCACACCATTCATCCAGCCTATCAACTTGTGAACGAAACAGATACATTTGAGTTTTTTTGTAATGCGACGGGAAATCCACCCCCGGCAATAACATGGCGGAAAGTTGGCGACACTAGAAAAGTGCATTCCATAGGACAAACACTGATAATACACAATGCTTACAAATCAGACTTTGGCAGCTACCGATGTACCGCAATGAGTGTTCGCGGTGAGAATGTGTCAGCTGTTGCTCGAGTGGAGATGGATAACTGTGAGTCGAATTCCTTTTTGTATTGTAGTTGGTCACATGAAATAAAATGTTCCAGCTTTGACGGAGGCGACAAATCAATGTCAGCCTTACTTCAGCTAGATTTTGTCGTTCTCCTCGATTTATTCAGGAAAACAAAATAAGAAGAAATAAACAAGAGTGATTCTCCAGAATGACTTACACGGCATCGTTTAGGCTGGGCCCAAAGTATTAGCACCTCCAACGGTGTTTGTCAGGTAATGCCCTTCCTCACCCCCCACACTCTCCCAACGATCCATTTCGTATGAGAGCGACTGACAATGTTGTTTGTAAAGAAGGCTTTTCACGCCGCTGTATTATGATGTGATACTCAAGATTTGTGTTTTTATATATTTTTAGTTTCGCCGACGATCGAGTACATTTGCTGCAACGTTACCGTTTTGGAAAAAGAAAGAAGAAATGTTACAATGTCCTGTAATGCAACAGGAAGACCAGCGGCACAGCTGTCCTGGATAAGAGCTGCAGATGGTAAAACTTTGGTCGCTGGGAACACTCTAGTAATCTCAGCTGCTGGTCGGTCGCATCGCGGTGAATACAGATGCGTCGGTGATAATGGAGTGCGAAGTCCTGTTTCTAAGTCGGCATATGTGAACGTGCTTTGTAAGTTCAGAATGTTTTTTATGGAAGTCACCAAGGCAATAATTGTTAGAGATATATAATCGTGAGTCCAGCTCCACTTCAAATTTACAAAGACCCCGGCATGAAAAGAAAAATTGATGCTATCCACAGCATCATCGCGGAATATTTTTCCTATTTTGCTGTTATCAAGAATGCTGTATCTTTTTCCCATATTTTGTCCATTCTATGTTAGTATGCTACAAGTGCATTGAGATCTATCTGAGATCGAGAATCGTTTTTATCATATTAAGTCCAAATGCTAGCGAGAAGGTGGAAGACTACACGACAATTCGTGTTGTCCGTACTTTACAATTCAGCAAGTTCTTTGAAATTAATTAAGACGATTTCTCAGGAGTCTCGAATTTCATATTCGTCACAAAAACAGCGTCTATTAAAGGGGGTGTGTTGCATGGTTAATATCAAAATCTCAAATGGATGTCTTTCTTTTCCTATAGATAATCCAATAACTACAAGATTAACAACCGATAAATTAAATGCAGTGGTACTAGGAAATGGTCGCATTGCAATGACTTGCATAACTGATGCCAACCCACCGCCAAGTCAATACCAGTTTTATCGTAATGGTGTCTACTTAAGAACTAGTTTTACAGGAGTGCATGTTATTCACAAGGCCAGATATTTTGACGCAGGAATCTATCTATGCGTACCACTCAACAGGCTTGGCTCTGGTTCAAACGGCTCTGTCAAGGTTTCGGTAGTTGGTAAGTAAGACGCACTCTTGTACCCTAAGTCACCGCAACTTTATGCGACTTGAAGCAAACTAAGCCTCAGCAAAATTTGATAAAAAAAACACTCTAGAAGGCCTCCAGCAACAAGCACAACATCACACAAGTGATCAACCTGGCGTTTTTAATATAGTCTTCTGATTTGTGCCGAAATAAAGAGAAACTAGTACGAGGCTTGTGCTTTATTTGACTGTCTTTTTTTTCCATAAGTTTTCACTAAAATTAAATGAAATGCAATCTAAATTCCTTCACTTTTTGTCTACAGGTGCTTTTTCTATCATGTACTTTCCACAGAACATGACCGTCAACGAAAGTGCAAGTGTTTTATTCTTTTGTAATGCTACTTCATATGCCCCATATGACAAATTTGTTCCTCAAATTTCTTGGAGTAAGCTTAGAGACAACAGTAAAGTGTTACCACCAGGTCAACAGCTTGTTATAAGGAATGTGAGTCGATACGATGGAGGTACATACATCTGCACAGCAAAGAACGGACTGGGGCTTCCTGATACTAAAGCGGCGGTGCTAAATGTTCTACGTGAGTAAAAACATTTGACATTATGTGAAAATTAGGATTGTCTTCAGTAACCAACCAATTTGATTGACTTGCAGACCCGGTTGTTATTATATTCTGCAGATAAACCATACGACACCAAGCTTGGGGCATCAGTTCCAGACAATATTGCAGTATTAAACTCATCTGTAATAATAACTTGTAGAGCAAAAGCCAACCCACCGGTCATAACCTATAATATTTACCACAATGGCATCCTAGTGTCCAATGCATCTAGTGGAATTTACAACATCACACACGCTCTGACTGAAGATAATGGATCATATGTCTGTATACCTTACAACGAGTTTGGTGAAGGCGAAAAGGCAGCTTTGAAGGTGTCTTTTGTGGGTATGTAATTGTGTAAGACTCTCAGCCATGAATCCTTCTTATTTTTTCCAAAGATTTTTGGTGGTTTTCATTGTGTACTTGATTTAGTTTATCATTGTCATCGTCATCTTTTATTTGCCTTATTTGCACAATACAAAAAATTTATTTACAGCGGTTATAGCTAGAAGGCGAGGAGAGCCAGGAAGCCACCGAGCTTATGGGAGAGCCACCTCACTTACATTAATAAATAAAGAAAAGAAAAAGTGCTGCGAATTTGCGGCTAGGCCAATTCAGTGATTATTTAAATAAAAACTCTTGCATCTTCGTCTTAAAACTAGGACGGTTTGACGAACGAGTGACTGAAACAGGAAGAGAGTTCCAAAATTTTAGGACCTTGGTAGAGAATTGTAAATTGCTTGAGATTTGTACGGCACAAATGCGTTAGATAATTACTGGCTGTTCTGGTACCATAGTTGTGAATTTGGCTATTCGTTACAAAAAGATTGAGAAGCAATGGAGGCAATAAGTTATTTCTAAAATAAAACATGAATTTGGCGATTTCAAACGTATTGACTTGGAAAATATCTAAAATTCCTAGTTTGGAGAATAAAGGAGCGGAATGGGCTCGATAGTCTGAGTTGGTGATAGCCCGCACAGCTCGCTTTTGCAAGAAATAAATTCTATTTAAGTTAGATATGTATGTGGACGACCAGGCGCAGTTACAGTAGACGATGTAAGGATAAATTAAGGTGTAGTACAAAGTGAGTTTGGTTGTAGAGGATAGGAAAAAGCGAGACCTGAAAATATAATACCTATTGATTTAGCGATTTGTAGATACATAGTTGATATGATGTTTCCAGGTGAGATGATCGTCAATATAGACCCCAAGGAATTTAGTTATGTTAGATTGTTGAAGGGGTTTATCTCCAAAGGAGAGAGAAATGCTGGAGTTAAATTTCTTCTGTCTGGGTTTAAAAATTACGTAGTTAGTTTTCTTTATATTAGTTACAATTTGGTTGCGCTTTATTAGCGGAGGAATCTCCCTCTGCAAGATATTTTCAGATTCATAACGTTCTTCAAGAGAAGAAGGTAATGATGATATGACCAATATTACTGGAGACAGTAATCTTCAAGAATGATATTAATTTTGAACAGTCCGATCGACAAAGCTAATACTTAGAAATAGTCCATACACAGAAAGATAACTTGTGTTTGGCTGGTTGTACTTGACAGGACCCTGTGGTGTTAAACGTGTGCATCATACCTGGTCGCCTCAGATTGTGGGTGGAGCTTATGCTAAACCAGGTGAATGGCCATGGCAGATCCAGCTGGGATACTTTGACAACACCGAAAGCATCCCTCATCTTTGTGGTGGCTCCATCTTGGATCACTATTGGATTGTTACGGCAGCACACTGTGTGAAAAGTGAATTTGGTAAAAAAGTCCCCGCCAACTTTAATGTCACTGCTGGTAAGTCATGTTTTGTTGGTGCCGTTTTCATCCATTCGGTAGAACTTAGCCATTGGCCCGCATCAAAATTGCAATCTCTTGTTATTTTATAATAGAAAGCTTGGTATTTTCATTAAGGCCGAGACACAGTTATGTCGCAGTGTACTTACAGTGATAATATAGCTTCCATTGGTCTAGTATTATTACGTATGTACGGTAATAACGTCAGTTTTGTTGACATGATTAACGAAGACAGTTATGACGACGAAATTTTATGGCTGAACCATACCTCCTCTGTACGTTTAGTCCGTATAAGAATGTAATAAAATATTGCATACAAGATTATCAAAGGATCGAAGTTTTGTATTAGGATGGGTTTGGGGTGAGTAAGGTACAGGAGGGGATTTTTAACATGCCTTATGCCTTTTGAAAATTTCCATTGAGGAGGTTCTAGTTTACATGCTCATAGGTATGACTGCTGGACTGTTTCCTTTCATCGTCAGGTGAACTCCACAGAGGGGTCAGTGAAGGAAGAGAGCAAACTGTTCCGGTAAAGAAGATAATTTTACACCAAAACTTCGACCAGAAAACCTTACGAAATGATATTGCTTTGATGAAGCTCCAAAGACCAATCTTCTTTGATGTGCATGTGTCACCAATATGCCTTCCGGACTTTGATTTTGACGACGGTACTAAGTGTTACGTCACTGGCTGGGGTCGTTCTGGACCTCTTAGTTCGACGCCAGACATTCTTCAGGAGACTTCAATTCCTCTTGTAGCTCACAGAGTTTGTCAACTGTATTACAAACAGAAAAGAGTTAACAATGTGACGTCAGACATGCGCTGTGCTGGGACCCTGGGTCAGAGTCGAGGCACATGTAAAGGTGACAGTGGCGGACCGCTGGCCTGTGAGAGAGACGACCGCTGGTATTTGATGGGTGTTACCAGTTGGGCAAATGAAGGCTGTATGCATAACGGTGATCTAGGTGTATTTTCAGATGTTTTGTACTTTAGGAGCTGGATTGAAGAAGTCATGAAGAACAATACAAAGACAGCAGAGTAGAGCGGGTTGCATAAGAACGTTGGATTTAAGTTACAGAAATAACACTAGTGGATGAGAGGACAGATAAAAGTTTTGAAGGTTTTAGTCATTTCATATTCAAATGAATGCTATGTTTTCAGAAAATTATCACAGAATTTCAATTATATTTGGAACTCTCTTGAATATTTTTTAACAAAGCTGTGGTAGCATTTCATATGAGAACCAGAAAACAGATTCTTTGGTGGTAAAAACTCGAACAATGATTTGCTGTGATTATCCTCGGAACATTTTAATATACAGGAGAACTTGAACTAATTTTTAGCGCCAGCTTTTATTTGGGATGCATGCCTTTTTTACATAGATATATTAAAGCAGCATGTGTTTGTAAATATACTTTTATAAATTTTTCCATGCAATAGTCAGAGCGAAATGATCAAAATTGAGGAAAATATATCGTAATAAAAGTTTTTTTAAAGATATAAATATGAACTGTTTTTACGACACAGTGTGGGATTAATTATCGACTATGAGGTGCTATGCGGAATGGTACCTGTATAAGGTGATTTCTTTTCTCGATCGATTCTCTCGGCTGCAGAGTTCAGACGTCAATAAGCCCTAATTCAGATAACCATTTTTCGGTTCAAGTTGAGTGTTAAGAGGCTAGGGTTATTGTTAGAGTTTGAGGCTGGCTTAAGGGTTAGGGTTACGACTCCACAAAAGAAAATGCACGCGTTGGCATACCTTTTTGGTTGTTGTGGTTTGTAATCTATACGTTGGAGATTCAACCGCAGCAACATAAGTTCATACGTTCCAAGAGGCCTGTTGTATCCTTGGTTTAGTATGAGAGGGATACGTTTCTAAAGAAACTGTGGTACTGCGTCAGTAGGGGAGTACAACAAGATAATTTAATTTTATCAACTGAGTTGATAATCTAAATTAGCCACCGTAAAGAGTGTTAATGCTGACGTTTCGAGCGTTAGCCCTTCGTCAGAGAGAAAGGCGAATCGTTCTGACGAAGGGCTAACGCCCGAAACAGTTTTTATGCTCTTTACGTCGGCTCATTTACATTATCAACTCAGTTGATAAAACTAAATGATCTAAATATCCATACATGCTTCTAGGCAGGCATAACGTTTGGTGTCTTGGAGACTATAATTCTATGTGCAGCAGACTATTTGCCGAACGCCTCTCGCGTATCGTTGTCACGTGATTATTTTGCTTTTATGCCGATTGGAAGTTGTATCATGTCGTTTTACTGCTATGAGTTTTTGCTTAAAATAGAATGATGTAGTTATCTTCTAGACCAACGTCGGCTTTTTATCATCCTATATCCAAGCAAGCACATGGTGAATGACTGCCTATGCCTTGCCTTGTTAAACAAAAGCCAAGGAAATAAGCTCCATCTACGACGAATGATGCAAAAAAAACTCTTCGGTAAAATAGGTAACAGGTTCTCAGATTAGGTGAAGCTAAGTAACTCTTTAAACAGTTAGTACGTCTAACAGGTTTGGGCTTTTCCGACCTTTATGGGAGCAGGGAATTATTCAAAGCAGTAGAAGGCGTAATGCGCTCCTTTTTATCCAAAAACGTATTTATCGTTATATTAATTCCAAAGATAAGTTTTTTCCTTTACATACGTTCCCTAAAAAATTAGGAAAAAGTTTAGAGTGATCACTTTTTCAGTTTTGCCTGATACACTTTTGTTGTCAGACTGTTGTTGGGTTGCGTCTTTTCTGTTTCTTTGATCTGTTTCAGTAAGATATTTGGCTGACAGAGAATCACGGAAGGCAATCAATATCCTCCAAAATGGTTCGGTCGCATGGTTCTGATCGTTGAAATTCCTTAATCAAAAAGAATAACATTTGAAGAAGGTTCTTTCCGGGGTTTTAGGTACATCGCTATATTAGATCTCAGTAATATTGAATCTGCTAGATATCTTTCAGAGAGCTGGGAGAAACCACAACTTCTCTCGGGGAAAAAGTAAAAGGAACTTGTCACATGACAGTCAAGGAACATTAAGTTTTAAACACTTAACTTTATTTATTCATTTTCTTTCTTTAAGCCGGTAAACCCTTACAAGTACAAGGTTATCCAATACTCTCATTTGCATTACAACCAAGTGGAAATAAATTGTTTAAATAAATAAATAAATATATCGAGATTTTCTATTTACACTTTAATGTCAGGCCTATGGATCCTGACCATCCCCTGGAAACGACGGATGGTACACTTTCATTAATAGATGAAAACTAACAACACTATTTTATCAAAATACTATGATTGTTTCATCTATATTGTTTCATTATAGAATTATAAAAATACAGGTAGCTATATGAAAATTTTCGTTCATTTGCAGTTGTATCTGTGTAAAACAAAAGAAAAAACTGCGTCGTCCAAACGCCAAGCGTTGAAAAGTAACTATTTTCGTCTTCCTTTATACCATGTAATAACACTCATAGAATGACACAATTTTATCAAAGACACATCTGTTAGTGGTTACGTTCCATCTATGTTTTTCTGTTCGACGCCCTCTCATGGGCACTCTTGAAGAACGAGCAGTAAACTCAGGGAGCGGTGCATGGGGTGATTTTGAAACATGGCAACATGGCTTATTTGAGATGCACTTAGTTAGATTTTGTAGCTGTTTAGGTGCGCTAATGAACAGGAACCTCAGCAAAACAATGGAGAGGAGAGACCTGGCTGTTGTGACTCTTAATTTATAAGTAAAACTGCGAAAACAACTTCAAAAAGTCAAGACACAAATAAGCCTGAAAAAGGTCGTGAGGTGCCCCTACAAAGTGTCATGGTTCATCAATGACGCCTTTCTTAAAAAAGTCGTAAACTGCTCGCACCCGAGTGATTTTTTTAGTACTTAACCCTCTGTAGAAAAACAAAATCTATTGCGTCCTAAACAGCTGTCTTGGTATTGTTTTTCATGACTTCTTCAATCCAAGGTCTGAAATGAAGAGTATCGGAAAATACTCCTGGGTCACCGTTGTGCATACAACCTTCGTTTGTCCAACTTGTAACACCCATTAAATACCAGCGGCCGTCTCTTTCACAGGCTAGCGGCCCACCACTGTCTCCTCGACATGTGCCTCGACTCTGACCCAGAGTTCCTGCGCAGCGCATGTCCGGTGTCACACTTTGTATACCTACGTAATGGTTTTTGCAGACCGTGTGGTTCATCAGTGGGACAGTGGTTTCTTGAAGAATGTCTGATGGAGAACCCAAAGGTCCCAGATATCCCCACCCAGTAACATAACAAGAGGTACCGACATCAAAATCAAAATCTGGGAGGCAGATCGGTGACACGTGAGGACCAAACAGAATGGGTTGTTGCATTTTTATCAGAGCGATGTCGTTTTGTAGGTCAATATCGTCAAAGTTCTCGTGTAAAAATATCTTTTCTACTGGAATGTTCTGTTCACTTCCTTCATTGATACCCCTGTGAAGTTCTCCTGAAAATTTAAAAACATCCCGTGAGTGAAAGAACATTGAATACAATTTGAAATATTCCAACTAAACCAGAGGGAGCATTCGCAGCACCTCTTGAGTAATCTAAGTGACTTGAATGCTTACCAACAGTGACATTAAAATTGGCTGGGGGTTTTTCTTGAAGCTCACGTTTCAGACAGTGAGCTGCAGTGACAATCCAGTAATGATCCAAGATGGAACCACCGCAAAGATGAGGGATGCTTTCGGTGTTATCAGAGTATCCTAGCTGTACCTGCCACGGCCATTCCCCAAGTTTAGCGTAAGCTCCAGCCACAATCTGAGGCGACCAGGTATGATGTACTCGTTTAGCACCACACGGTCCTGTTTTACAAAAGAGACAAAATGAAACAACACCGAAAAAGCCGTTTACAGACTGAGGAAACTTTCCGATATTTAGCAACTAACCTAGTGGTGCGAAAAGTTTCCTTTAGAGCCAAAGTGTCCCATAATGCAATTCTTCATTTTATTTTTTAAATCTATTTTTTCTCATAATAGATTGGCTTAAAAATCTGTCAGCTACTACTAGATGTTAAAAAGTAAAAAAATTACACACCTGTAAAGGTCACGTTTAAAGTTGCCCTTTCGCCTTCACCAAACTCGTTGTAAGGTATACAGACGTAAGATCCATTATGTTCAGCCAGGGCGTGTGTGATGTTAAGAACGCCGCTGGAAGTATTGGACACAAGGATGCTATCGTGGTAAATTTTATACGATGTAACCGGTGGGTTGGCTTTGGCAGTGCAATTCAAGATCAGTGATGAGTTGATTATTGCCACATTATCTGGAATTGATGCCTCCAGTCTGGTGTTGTATGGTTTATCTGTAAAAGAGAGAAAAAATTCAACCTCAGTGAGTACGACTCAAACATGTGATAACATTATTATTGACACCGCCTACTCTAAGGCTGTATTCATTGGTATTCATATTGAGTAGTATGGTACAGTGAAACCCTGTTATAAAGGGGCTTGTGATAGTGAGGTCCCGCGTTTCAGTTGCACTTTATTTAAAGAGGATAGCATCCCATAGAGCTCCAAACTATGTTAACTTAGATCTAGATCGTAGCCTGAGCTAGAGAACTAACTGAATATAAATTGATGTATCCCATATCAAATAACAGGTTTGTACTTACACAGCACATTCAAAACAGCTCCTGCAGTATCAGGAAGCCCAAGTCCATTATGAGCTGTGCAGATGTACGTTCCTCCGTCGTATCGACTCACATTTTTTATAACAAGCTGTTCGCCTGATTGATATACTTTACTGTTGTCTCCGAGCTTACTCCATGAGATCATGGTATGGAGATGGTCATATGGAGCATATGAAGTGGCATTACAGAAAAAAGACACACTTGTGCTTTCATTGGCGGTTATATTTCGTGGAGAATAAATAATGGAGAACGCACCTGAATAAAAAAAAAATTAAATCGGATTATATCTTTCTTTAAGAATAATCAAGTCTCATGAAGCTCAATCCTGTTTTCAGTTTTCTCGCATTGCCATGAGACCGGAAGGCCCTGGAGACATCTTGAATGGAAAGTGATTCTAATTCATTTGACGATTACTCACCGATGACAAAAACCTGGATAGTGCCGTTGAAACCGGAGCCAAGAGTGTTAAGTGGTACACATAAGTAGGTTCCCGCATCAAAATATCTGGCCTTCTGAATGACATATACTCCACTGAGACTCGTTCTGAGGTAGATACCATCGCGATAAAACTGATACTGACTAGGAGGGGGATTGGCATCAGTTATGCACGTCAATGCAATGCGACCATTTCCAACGACTACTCCATTTAGTCTGTCGGTGGTTAGTCTTGTCGATGAAGGATGATCTTGAAAAGAAGGTAAAATTTTAGAACAACAGGAGAGGCATTTATTTTATTTGATGTAAAATGCTCTCAAAAAGTAGACTGTTTTTAACTCTATTGTCTGAACATCACGAAGGAAATGATTGCGCTGAGTCTCGGGGCTCCAGAGCATGGAGCCACTTTAAATACATCTTCCATTCTTAGCTGTTATGCAAGCCATTCGCCAGCACTGGACGAAAAGTCTTTAAAATAATATGTAAATACTTATTGATAGTCCTCGAATAAAAAGGAGGACTGCCACGGGAGGGAGGTGTCCTGGAAAAGACACATGGACACACAATCCATAGACCTCTGAGAAGAACCAAAAGCCAAGTATTTAAACGTTTACTGGTTGAAATCAGCGGCGATAAATTTGAGATCAGTGCATTTTGGTCACTCAGTTCTGTCCCTGTTAACGACTTTTATATAGGATTCTGCAAACTTGTATGGCAGTAATCCCAGAATCATTACACGTGTGATAAAAAATACTTCATTCTACAATTTCAAGATTCCAGAATATTCTTAACTTACAAAGCACGTTCAAATATGCCGATTTAGAGACGGGACTTCGCACTCCGTTATCAGCAACGCATCTGTATTCACCCCGATGTGATCTGTCAGCAGATAAGATTACTAGAGTATTTCCGGATGCCACTATTTTTCCATCTCTTTCTCTTATCCAGGACAGCCGTGGAGCTGGTTTCCCTGTGGCATTACAGTACAGGGTGACATTTTTTCTTTCCTTTTCCATGACAGTAATGTTTTGTGGACTGTGGATAATACTCGCTGCAACTACAAAAGTAGTTAAACCTTAGGATGATGTTAGTTTCACTCATATACCTTCAAAAACCAATGATGCCTCTGATATAGGTTTGTTTGTCACATTAATATGGCTCACTTAATATTAAACTTACAGTTGTCCACCGCCACCATTGCAACGGCTGAAACAATCTCGCCACGCACGCTCACAGCTGTACATTGGTAGCTCCCAAAGTCTGATATCTCAGCCTTTGTTATCCTCA